GACAGAATGTTTCTGGCATCCCACAGGCAGTTCTGCTCCTGTCTGGTCTTAACTCTCCAGTGACTGGGCAGAGCCAGCTTAGGGTCTAAGCCACCACCTTCCACCCATTACCTCATGCTTGGAATCCTGGAAACCGTTCCTACACAGCCTCGTCCTCTTATTTGCTCAGAGCAGGAGTCTATCTTGTTACACCAGGGGCTCCGAGAAAGCACAAGTGTCCTTGAGCTGAGGCATCAGTTAAAGCGTCTGAGCAGCACAGTATTCATTTACCTTTTTGAACATCTGGATTAGGGACCCTATTCCAGAAGCACAAAGACTCTTCATTCATCATTCAGTCACCTACTTATTTATTGAGCTGCCATCATGGGCCAGGTCCTTGGGTGGCACAAATGGTTGACTTTTGGCTACTAACCAAAAGGTGGGTGGTTTGAACCCACCCAGCAATGCCATGGGAGAAAGACCTGGCGATCTGTTTCCGTAAATATTACAAACAGGAAAACCCTACCCAGCAGTTCTACTCTGTAACATGTGGGGTCACCGTGAATGGGAATCAACTAAATGTCAATGTTTATTTATTTACTTTTTTTAATCATGGGCCAATCACTTAGAACTAGGTGCTAAGGATATAGCAGGGGAAAAAAGGAACGCTCTGTTTTTTTTGGTGCCTACATTCTAGTGGGGAGAGACAAACAATGAATAATTAAATGCCAAGGATTGACAAGTGCTAATAAGGAAAATAAGAAAGGGTAAGAGAAAAGGGAGGTGCTATTTTAGACAGGTGAACAGGGAAGACCTCTCCGAAAAGGTGACATTTAAGCCGAGACTTGAATGAGGGAACAAACCACGTGGATATGGAGGCAGGAGCAGGATGGGTAGCTCCTAATGGCTTGTGCAAAGGCCCTGAGGTAGAATGTACCTTATGTGTTTGAGTAAGGGGAGATAAGATCAAATAGCCAGCAGGGAGGTTGGATCAGGTAGGCCTTGTAGGTTATGATGAGGGCTTGGGATTCTATTCCTAGTGAGATGGGTAGCCATTGGACAGTTTGGTTCAGCAGTTTAACATGACTTGGTCAACTTTATAGAAAGGCCTCTCTGGCTGTGGGGTGGAGAATAGACCATAGGAGGAGGGTGGGAGCAGAGAGATGACTAGGAAACTACTGCAATATCCAGATGAGGGATAAAGGCAGTAGTGACAGGGGAGAAGCTGCTGGGCTCTGGATAGGTCTTGAAAGTACAGCCTATAGGAATTGCTGATGGTCTGGATGCTGGGTCTGAGACAGGAGTCATGGATGGCTCCAGAGTGGTTGCCTCAGCAACTGCAGAAGGAAGTGGCCATTTCCTACGAGGGTACGATGCAGTGAATTACTTAATATGACCCGTCTAGCCATAATCTTTGTAACACCCACTAAATGACTGGGTGGAACTATGCAAATGAGGTGTTTGTGGTCCACCAAGGGGACTGGATAGCTTACTAATAATGTAAATAAGATGCATGGCACCACTGTGGGGATGGGACCATGCAAATAAGGTGTATGGAACCCTAAAGAGGGGATTGGTCAGTTTTGCCATTCCACTATGCTTAAAATGAGCCATCCCAGAGGCGAGAAGGGAGGATCTTACCACTATCAAGAAAGAAGAGCCACGAGTGGAGTTTATCCTTTGTACCTGAGATCCCTGCACTGAGAAGCTCCTGGAACCAGGAGATCAAAAGAGGGAGAGAGACAGAGAGAACGCTGTAACACCAAAGACGGTGAGAAGCAGCAGCAGAACTAGGAGATCAGCAGGAGACAGTGTGGTGGGCTTTCTGGCCCACGGAGTGAGAAAGCTAAGCACCTTTGGGTAGGAGGTTTGCTGGCGGAGTAGGGTGCCTCCAGGCACTTGGTCGAGCTAGGTCTGCCAACCCGCAGAGCTAGAGCTGCGTGTTTTCAGGCAGAGGCTCAATGGCAGAGTTGGATGCCTCTGGACACTTACAGGCAGAGCTACAAGAGGTCGAGGGGCCAGAGAGAGATGTGCCTGCAGCAACGGCTGAGAAAAGGCTGTCCTGATGGAAGAACTGTACCCTGAGCATTCCTGAACCTGAATTGTATTCTGTTACTTCCCTAATAAATGCCGTAACTGTGAGTATGATCCGTGAGTTCTGTGCAGCCATTACAATGAATTATCGAACCCAGCAGAGAAGTAGAGTGCCGTGGGAGGGACGGTTGGTGTCAGAATTGGTTAAAAAGGTTGGAGAGGAGTCACGTCTGATCTCTGCCTCATAGCAGTCAGCCTTGGACTGTTGATCTTGATTCTCCTTCCCCCTTGTGAAGTCAGAGGAGGTCAGATGCCTCCGCTACACCATTTTTACAGGGGGGTGTCGGCATGGGTGAGCCTTCCACCCAAGGGGCTGAATGGGATCACTCTGGGGCTGAGTGGCAAGGAGACCAGAGGTTGGAGCCCGGGCTCCCCCAGTGTTTAGAGGCTGGGAAGATGAGAAGGATCCAGAAAAGTAGGCTGAGAAGGAGCAGCCAGAAAGGTAGGAAAAGCAGAAAGTGGTGCCCACAGGCAAGGGAAGAACGTGATTCAAGGAGGGAGTGATTATCTGCTTCGAACACAAGAAAGCTGACTACTGGATCTGGCAACCCTGGTCACTGGTGACTTGGCAAGGGTGCTTCTAGTGGGTTGTGAGGAAAAGAGCTGGAGGGGGGTGGGGGTGGGAGGAAGTGGACACAAGCAACTCTTTGGAGGAGTTTTGCTCTAAGGAGAGAAGTTGTTTTTCTTGTCACTGTGGGAGTGATTGCAGCATGTTTGCCAAAGATCTGGGCGAGAGAGCCGAGGGTGCAGGTGTGAGTCCGCAGGAAGGTGACAGGGCTCTCTCTCTCTCTCTCTCTTCCAGCTTCTGAGCCAGAGCCTAAGAGGGCAAGGACCTGGGGGGTTCCAAGTCTACGTGGCCCACGCCCTCTCCCACTTGGGACTCCCACAGCTCCCAGCTGCCCCAGCGGCCAGCCTGGCTCTGGGAAGGCCTCTTATAGGCACTCACTGTCTGCTCTGTTCACATCAATCCATCTAGCTCCTCCTCGAGGGTCTCCTCACCAGTCAGCCAGCCCACTTTGCTCGTAACTAATGTGCACACTGTACTTCCTCATTGCCAGCCACTTTCCTAGGCCTCGCTGGGTCCTCTCACCTGGGAGGAGGCGTTACTTCCACATTCCATGTTTGGGGATCGCACAGGGCCACCGCTGGGTCCCAGAACCTCCCCAAGTACGAGGCAGGTGACAGCCCGCCTTACTTGGCCTTCCACTCCCGTGGCTGTGTCCTGCAGGGCGGGGACACCAAGCTCTGCCACCACCTCTGGGCACTTCTTCGGGGGAGGTGGCTCTGTGTGTAGGCCTCTGTCCTGGGTGCCTCATGGAAGAAACTGGCACCCATGACGCAGTGGCTGTGACTGTCTTCCATCTCTCGGGGTAGGGGCAGCAGTGAACTCCACAGATGGCCCAGCCCCACAGATCCTGGGTCACAGTGAGCAGCACAGAGGGCCAAGGCAGTTGGTAAGAAATCACCAGTTTATTGAATGAAAAATCCAACATCAACCCAGCCACCCCCTCCAGCCCCAACAGAGCAGCAGAGCCCAGCGCTGCTCTGGACAGCAGGGCCAAGCCGGGGATGGGCTGAGGACAGAGATGGGAGGTAAGGAGAATGAGAAAACACCTTTCAAAATGAAGTTCTGTGCAAAACCTTCTGGAAAGAGTGAGGGCACCGGGAAAGCTCTGGAAATGTTGGCGGGGCCGGGGGCCAGGGCTGGGATCTAGACTGTTCTTGTCTCCACTGACGGTGGAGGCTGAGAAGGGGCTCAACCTGAGCCCGCAGCGAGGGAGGCACTGGGCCCTGCTGGAGGAAGGCTGGCCAGGAGGATGGGGTCCCTGCCAGGGTGTGACAGTGGGAAAACCCTCCTCAGGCCAGGGGCCCGTGGGGTGAGGAGGTGGGAGAACAGACCAGGGAAGGAGACACGTCAACACGGTGGTCGAGAGAGATAACAGGCCAGGTGGCAGGGGGACAGACAATGTGTGGGGTCTGCCTCCATCTCCCAGTCCAGAGCTGCAGGAACAGGCAGAGCTGTGCTGGGCGGAGGGGCGGAGGAGGGGGAGGATTATCAACAAGGGAGGAAGCCACAGGACAAGGCAAGTCACACAGAACAGCTAAGACCACCAAGAGATCGGCCGTGCAGAGAACCAAAAACTCAAGGACACACACGACATTTACAGGGGACCTGGGGGTGGAAAGATGGTCGTGCGCAGCAGGAGCCAGGGAGGCCCCTCTGTCCCAGAAGTGCTCTCGTCACTCCAGAAACGTTGCCCTGGGGCGAGGCTGGGAGTTGCCTCTTGCCCCTGCGAGCTGTGTGTGGGGGATGTTCTTCTTCTCCAGCCAGCTGTGGGGCCAGGCGGGGTGTCCCCACAGGAGGTGGGAGGTGGCCCCAGCCCTGGAGTGTCCCCACAGGAGGTGAGAGGTGAAAGGTGGCCCCAGCCCCAGGCAGACGGCTGCTCGTTGCCCAAGGGACCCTGTGAGGGAGGCGGGAGGAGCAGCAGCTGGGCCTTAGAAAACCAAGTGACCCTCGGGACTGGAGGGTGGGCAGGGGCTCACCTGCTGTGGTCTAGGAGGACAGCTTTCCTACTTCCAGGAAGATGCTGGTGCCACATGGGGGAAGGGCGGGAACAGAAAGAGAATGGAAGGCGCCCCAGGACTCAACTCCAGGGACTGACAGGTGCCAGAAGGCAAAACCAGCCTGCCCTGGGCCTGGACCTGCCCTGGGCCTGGAGCGGGAAGGAGAGGAGGAGGGAGGGGGTGAGAAGAGGACTGTGGGCCGGGACAGGCGCGGGGGTGAGCAGTGTCCCCAGTGGCAGTGTCCTTCAGGATGGGCGAGTGAAATACAGGCCCCGGTGCCAAGAGAGGGATGTTGGGGCCCAGCCTGTGCCTCCCCCTGCCCGCAGGCGGTGAGGCTGGTGGCAGTGCCAGGAGGGTGAGTAGCCAGGAGACAGTGCCCTCAAGTGGCCTTGCTGCCACTGAACAGTCCCACTGGAAAGTGCTTGACATGGGTGGGCCACTGCGCTGCCAGCTGGAAGAACTTGATGTCACTCCACTCAACTCCATCGATGGACACTGGGGGGACAGGGCAGTGTCACCAGCGCTGCTGTGGCCGCTCCCCCTCACACAACAAGTCAGGAAAGCCTCTGCCTCCGAGTCCCTTTCCCCCCCAAGTCAGCACCCACCCTGGCTCTCTGCCCCCGAGGCCCTGTCCCCCCCATTAGCCGCACCTCTCAGCATGGTCTGCTGCTGCTTGGCGGAGCAGATGAGGCGGCTGATGCCCTCGATGACCTGGCTCTTCGAGTCCACCTCCTTCTCTCGAGGCTTCTTGCTCAGGAAGATGGTGGGAACTGGAAAGCAAGCAGGCTTTCTGAGTCGCCTCTGGAAGTGCAGCCCTCCCTCTTGTCCCCAGCCCTGATGCTGCCTTTCTCTGGGAAGGGGAGCCGATGCTGAAGGCGGACATCTGTGGAAAGTTCCAGGAAAGCACCCCGGGTGGGCGGTGGAGCAGGATCTCCGAGTTCCTGACCGGCCCCAGGACCAGTCTCCTGACTTTGGCAAGGATTTCGCTCTCCCAGCCTCACTATCATCATCTGTACAGCGAGGACCTGGGGCCAGATGGTCTGAGTCCCTTTAGCTCAAATGTTCCAGGCCGCCTCCTCTGTGCAGCGAGGTGGCCTGTGTGTGGAGGTGTCTGGCTGTGATGGAGCCGAGGTACCTGTGTTTGTACTGACTGGCCCGGGTGCCGGGCTGAGCCTGCACACCAGCCTCCCACTCTCGGAGGAGGCAAGAGCAGGAGGCTGCTCAGCTGACAGCCCCGCCATGTTCCAGGCCAGTCTCTGGTGCAGCGGCCCCCTCCCCTAGGGACACCTATCTGAGCAAAAATGAGGAAGCGCAACAGGCACAGCTGCTTTGGGGGGTACCTGAGGAGGCAGGGTCCAGGGTTAAAAGAAGCCACCTCCTGACAGCTGGGCAGGGGGAGGGCTGGGAGGGCTGAGGGCCACCATTCTAGGTGCACAGCGGGGCTGACAGGGAAGCACTGACTCAGCCCTGGCCTGGTTGGGGGAAGGGCATTCCTGCCAGCTGTCAGAGCTTCCTTCTGCCAGGGCAGGACCCAGGGCCACCCTGACTCTACCTCGGTGCCTTATCCAGATGGACTGAACTCTACTTTCCATAAAGGACAACGATGTCCTCTGGTCATGGAGCTCCTGTGCACTGGCCTCCCGGGCCTCAGTTTCCCTCCCTTGGAGCTGAAGCCTGGAGATGTTCTCTCCTGTCACACACTGCCTCAGACAACGGCGACCAAGTGCCTTACTGGGGACCGTGGTTTCCTTCAAAACCCAGATGACAGATCCTGCCTGGTCCCACAAGGTGCGGCAGGACTGCACCCCAGGGCTAATTCTGGAGGGGATGGAGGAGGCCTGGGGGCCCTGATGGTCCCTGGCCTCAGAGGTCACTTACCTTTCTTATTCTTCTCTTTGGTGACCACAGTCATGGCCATGGTACCAGAAAGCTGGGCCTCGCCACCGTGGGGCAGGCGGGACACCTGCACCGAGCGGAAGACACTCTTGAGGGTGTTCTTGGAGCTTGCGTCCCTCTTGTCGCCGTCCCGCCTCCGCTCACTGGGGTGGCCCAGCCAGTAGTCCACCTGGAGGCCAATGACATCCCCGTACGGGCTGTTGGGGCTCCTGGAGAAGGGACAGGAGGACAGAGAGGTCAGCTCTGCCCTCAGTTCCCAACCACATGGGCACATGAGGGGCGGATGGACCCTCTGGGAGGGGAGGAGGCCAGGGGTTGGGCTCCAGGGGTGGAGGGAGGCCGTCTCCAAGCTCTGTGTTCCCTCCTGCCCCACAGAATCCTTCCTCCTGGAGTGGAGAATCAGGCTGATCTGAGAACAAAGCCAGGAGAGGGGAAAGGCTCACACTGGTCAGGGAACCAAACAGACAAGTCCCAGGAGGACAAGGAAGCAGAGAGGAAGGAAGCTCTATGAAGAAAAAGCATGTGCACACAGGCCCAGAAAGCGAAGCAGGGCCAACACCAAGCGGGGCCCAGGGGACTAAGTGGGGCAGAGGCAGAGCCCCGAGGCTGCTCCGGAGCCTCGGGGAGTTGATGACTGACCTGCAGCTTTCTCTTATTTATGGCACTTCTAGCTCAGGGATAATTTTAGCTCTCAGGGGAAAAGGGCTGATGTTTTCTTGAAAGGAGGCGTCAGACACAATAGGTACACGGGCTACAAAAGTCATCTGACATTTTTCTTTCTGCCTAGTGTCAGTGGTGCCATTAAAAAACAAGCTGACATTGGATGGGAAAGGAGGTCGAGGTAAGGGTTGGTCCCAAGGCCCTTGAATCCATGCTGGACAGAAACCCTTTGTGCTGGGGTTGGTGGCGGGGGGGGATGGAGCAGCAAAAATAGGCTTCCAGGAAGCCTGGGCTGCAGGGAATTGGGGCAAACTTGGCTAAGTGGGATTTCTCCTTCTCCCAAACTGCCGCTTGCAGGCAAATGAAGGGAACTGGAAAGAGAGAGAAAGAATGGGATTCTAGCTAATTTTTCACTCAACAATGCTTCATCTTCTGCAGGGACTATGACCCTGCCATTGGTGGTTCCAGAAAAGCCGCCGGTCAGTAACTGCCCTCTGCTGTACAAAGACCATCACCAGAGGACACCAGGAAAGAGGCATGGGCAGAAGGAGGGAAATGGGGGGAAGAAAACAGTGCTGCCTCCTCTGTGGTCCTGACCCTGCTCTGCCCTTCCCACCTCAAAGCCCCTTTCCCCAGCCTCCTGCCAGCAGCGTTCTCCCTCTGCCCTTCCTGCCCACTAACTGAACGTTAGATCCTTGAGATCCCAAAGTAAGCCCCCATCACCTCGCCCTGCCGTGCTTCACGGCACCTAATGCAATCTAACATTTTCATGTTGTCATTTCTGCATCACTTTGACATGAGCCCTAGAGGACAGGACACTCCTGTCTTGCCCTCTGCTCCAGGCCCAGAGCCTCACACGGTGACTGGTGATGGATGAACAAGGCACCACCTCTCAGATGCCAGGCACTTCTGTTCATATGTAAACCTCACAACGAGCCTGTGAGGTCGCCGCCATTCCACATCTACTTTGTAACAGAAGCTTAGAAACCTGCCCAGGTGCACACAGCTGATGCAAAGAGGCCATGACTCAGATCCAAGCGTGTCCGACTCCAAAGGCCAGGCGCGGCTTCTAGTCACACATGAGACACTTACCAGCACTTTCCAGTCTACAAGGGGCCTCTCGACCAATGCCGTCTCATCCAACCCTTCTAAATCTGTGAGAGAGGCAGGGCAGAGAGCAGCCTCCCTGTTTCACCGAGCTGGTCAATGATGCAGACTCTGGATTCTAACTCCACCGTTCTCCCCCAGACGCCTTTCTAAACCCAGGGCTCTCGCCCCTGTTCTACACTGCTGCCGGCAGCAGGGAGCTCAGTCGGGGTCCTGGGCCCTGGTGGACGGGCCATGGCAGAAAGGCAAGTCCGGGCGGGAGCCTTACCCCATGACGGCGAGGGCACTGCTCATGGACGGGGAGGAGGGAGGGGTGGCTGTGGCATCTCGGCTCATGCCTGAGCTGGAGGGTGGCGACGTAGAGGGCACAGTCAGGCTGACCACAGGTGAGTCATCCCCATCGCCTGTCAGGGGACAAACACAATTGGCCAGAGGAAGCCACCCCTGACCCCTTGGTGGCCTGTCTGCTACTCAGCTGCAGCCTTGATTTCTTCCTGGGCCTTAGACGCCTCCCCACCTGCCTTGCCACCACTCCAATGGGGAGTGAAGCTGCTCAAGTTCTTCCCGCCCTTGTCCCACCCTCCCACCAAAGCAGCAATGGAGGCATCCTGAGGCTCACCTGTTGTTGAAGGAGAGTCTTCCACCAGACCTACCTTCACCACCTGAAGGAAAGAAGAGACACAGGCATTAGGTGCTCTCCTCACAGCTCGACACGTTCTAATCCAGTCAGAAATAGACGGCTGGGCAAACAGCCATTATTGCACATTATTCTGTCACGGGCTTTTAAAATCTTCTCCAATCTGGGGCAGCCCAGATCTTTATAGGAGATGTGGAAAAAACCCAGTTCCAGTCGATGAGGTGGAGCACCTGAGACTTTTCTCTGGGGACAAGGGCAAAGCCCACCTTGAAGGCAGGATACATTTCTGTATCCAGTGCTCATTTCTCTTGATCACCACAGGCAGCGGCCACCTGCTTAGGTCAGAGAGAGAAATTAAAACCCGCTGAGAGACAGCCTCGGAACTCTTTCATCATTATGAGGACGACGGAGCGGGTCACGGTCAAGGCCATGCTCCATACCCGGCCTGCCCTGCGGCACCGAGCCACGTGAACACCAGCTGAAGATGCTGGCAGAGGCTCTCCTTTCTAGCCTTCCGGGAACCTAGAGAAATGACAATGGGAAGGAGAGGGTCCCAGGTTCCCTCCTCCCCTGTCTAAGGCAGTGAGGCTGATTTCAGCTTCCCATATAATTTTATACACCCTACAAAGAATTCTGGAAAAGACTGAGGGGGCCTCCTAGTGGTCAAAAAAAGGACAGAGCTAGAGACAGACTGTTTGAATGCTCCTGCTGTGCTTTTGAGTGCCAGGTGAAGTCCTTTTAAAGAGTAGGCCTGAGGTACCTGCCGAAAAGCAGAACTGGGGGTCAGAGAAGCCGGCCTTGGGGACTGGTGGGGAGTAAGGACTACACGTCTACCTGCAGATGGTCACCACGGCGACTGCTGAGGGCACAACGCTGCCCTTCCCTGGGGTTTGCCCCAATTCTCTATGTCCTTATTTTGGTTCCCAGAGAGAAACGAGATGACACTCTGGGGCTTCTTGGATACAACTCCCCTTTCCCTTTGCTCTCCTGGCATTGTACACAGCTGTTCTCACTAAACCCACTGCCGTAGATTCCGACTCACAGCGACTCTATTGAAGACACAGTAGAACTGCCCCATAGGGTTTCCAAGGCTGTAATCATTATGGAAGCAGACGTCACACCTTTCTCCCTTGGAGTGGCTGGTGGATTCAATCCAGTGACCTTTTGGTTAGCAGCTGAGCACTTAACCACTGCACTACCAAGTCTCCTTATACAGCTGCTAGCCCCTTTTTATTATCTTAAATCTCTCTCTCCCTCAGCCTTCAGTATGGATTACACCTCAACATAAAGAAAACAAAAATCCTCACAACTGGACCAATAAGCAACATCATGACAAACAAAGAAAAGACTGAAGTTGTCAAGGATTTCATTTTACTTGAATCCATAATCAATGCCCATGGAAGCATCAGTTAAGAAATCAAAAGACGCATTGAATTGGGCAAATCTGCTGCAAAAGACCTCTTTAAAGTGTTGAAAAGCAAAGATGTCACCTTGAAGACTAAGGCGGGCCTGATGCAAGCCATGGTGTTTTCAATCGCCTCATATGCATGCAAAAGCTGGACGATGAATAAGGAAGACTGAAGAAGAAATGACGCCTTTGAATTGTGGTGTTGGCGAAGAATGTTGAATATACCATGGACTGCCAAAAGAACGAACAAATCTGTCTTGGAAGAAGTACAACCAGAGTGCTCCTTAGAAGCAAGGATGTCAAGACTTAATCTCACATACTTTGGACATGTTATCAGGAGGGATCAGTCCCTGGAGAAGGACATCATGCTTGGTAGAGGGGCAGCGAAAAAGAGGAAGACCCTCAACAAGATGGACTGACACAGTGGCTGCAACAATGGGCTCAAGCATAACAATGATTGTGAGGATGGCACAGGACTGAGCAATGTTTTGTTCTGTTGTACATAGGGTTGCTATGAGTTGGAACTGACTCGATAGCACCTAACAACAACAACAGCTCTTTCTCAGGTGCGAAGCCAGTGTGCAGCAACCCACAGTTCCAAGAAGGTGTGAGCTGAGCTACCTACAACGGGCTGTGTGCCACGGTTCTGGGGCTTTGACCATGGCCGTGGAAGCAGCACCAGAGGCAAGCTGAGTGTGACTGGATTGCCAGGCTGGAGGCTTTGTAAGGCATGAGAAGAGGTTACTCTATTTCCTGGGCTCAGAAGAGCCGCATCTCCCAAGATCGTTCAAGACATCCAGAGTTAAACGTGTAGAGATAGGGAGCCAAGGCCCCACATCTGTACACCTCCCCCTCCTCCAAAGCTATGAGGGATCCTCAAGGACATTATAGAAAAAGAAAAATATAATAAGCTAATTTTGGCATCTGAGCTTGTCGTCATTGTCTATGGTGTGCTTTTGCCCTGACAGGGTTTCCCGGCTCTGCGTCCTCTGGGCTCCTCTCCAGGTCTCTCTATGCCCGTGGCCCTACAGCTGCCAAGTGAAACAGACTGCAGTGTGATGGATCCATTTTATATAGCCTTTTTTTGCCATGGTCTTGTAACTCCCACTGAATGACTGGGTGGGACTATGCAACTAAGGTGCATGTGGCCCACCAAGGAGAGTGGACAGCTTGCTAATGATGCAAATAAGGTGCATGGCACCCTTGTGGTGGTGGGACCATGCAAATAAGGCATATGGAACCCTAACGAGGGGCTTGGTCAGTTTTGCCATCCCGCAAGGCTCAAAATGAGCCATCCCAGAGGCAGAAAGGGGGGACCTCATTACCACCAAGAAAGAAGAGCTGGGAGCAGAGAGCATCCTTTGGACCCAAGGTCCCTACACTGAGAACCTGCTAGACCCTGGAGACAGAGCTGTAACACTGGAGACGGAGCAAGATGGTGAGAATCGGTGGCAAGTGCAGTAGAGAACCAGCAGAAGAACCAGGAGAACAGCAGGAGACAGCAGGGTAGCTTCCTGGCCCACAGAGTGAGAAAGCTGAGTGCCTTTGGGCAGGAGGCTTGCTGGTGCAGTGGGGCACCTCTGGGCACTTCTTGGTGGAGCCAAAAAGCTTTGTAACACTTGCCCAAGCAGGGCAGAGGCTGGGCTGGCCCAAGAGGCCTGAGGGACTGAGGGGCCAAGGGCTGACAGGCCAAGGGCCAGGAAGAGACCTGCCTATGGGCGTGGCTGAGAAGCTGTCCTGACCGAAGAACTGTATCCTGAGTTGGTCCTGATCCTGAATTGCAACCTGTTACTTCCCTAATAAACCCTATAATGGTGGATATTGTCCATGAGTTCTGTGTGGCCATTGCAACAAATTATCGAACCCAGCAGAGAAGTAGAAAGTGCCGCGGGAGGGAGGGATGGTGTCAGAATTGGTAAAAATGTTGGAGAGAGGAGGCATGTCTGACCTCCGCCTCACAGGAATCAGCCTTGGGCTGTTGATGCTGATCTTGATTCTCTTCTCTTCCCCTGAAGTTAGAGGACCTCTGACGCCACTGCGCCATTTTTACACAGACAAAGCCAGTGCCACCTGACAGGAAAGACATTGAAAAGGCTTTCCCTTTTCATTCTCTGCCCCCTCAGTGAAAATTGTTTTCAAAATCTACTAGTATCTAGGAGGGGAAAGACAAGGCCCTTCTTTTGGTGGTCTATCTGACTCTGAAGACAGAAATACCCCTCCCTTGAATTTCTCCTTTGTCATTATTTCTGGGCAGCCTCTTTGCCCCTGGAACCTGCAGAAGCTATGCTGCCAACACACCAAGTTCAGGGCCCAGTGTGGTAAATACGAGGTACCAGTGAGGAAGTGATGAACCTGGGGGATAGTTCAGGACTCGGGGAAGAAGGACACTGAAATGGACAGGCCACTACATGTCCTAGCCCAGGGTGTCTCAACCTCGACACTACTAACGTTTGAGGCCAGGTAATGCCTTGTCGTAGGGTCTGGCCAGTGCATTGTAGGATGTTTAGCAGCATTCCTGGCCTCGACACACTAGCTGCTGGTAGCACCCATTGTAACAACCAAGAATATCTCAGACACTGCCAAATGTCCCCTGGGGTGCAAAATCACCCTTGGTTGAGGACTACTGTCCTAGAGGAATCCCTGACTTTTTTTTTTGGTGGGAGGAGGTGAGGGGGACGGGTGGGGAAGAGAGGAGAGGGGAGTCAGTACTCACGCCAATGAAGGGGATAAACTTCTGATATGAGTCTTCGTCAGGGCTGGTGGGAGAGACAGAAAAGCTTTACTGTTGACTGAGCAGATTTACAGAACGCTGGGAAAATAAGCTTCCATACTATACTGTGGCTTCAAAGGAGTCCAGACACCACTTCAGAGCTTCCCATCATAGCTTGGGGGAGGGGCACAGGGAGGGTCTATTACTCACTGTACATACAGGGCACTCCAAATGGAGGCACAAGCCCTGATGATACAAACTATACTCCCTGCTGCCCACGTGAGTCACTGGATGGGCTGCTTCTGCACTGAGGGGGTGGGGGAGGCTGAGACAAGTGGGGATGCCCAGGGCAAGGAAGGGAAGGCGTGGGTGGGAGGCAGAAAAAACACCACACACATACCCTCACACTCACACACACACATACACACACACACTTACATACCCTCACACCCTCACACACATACACACACACACGCCCCTTCTTGGGCTCCTAGAAAGGGAATTGGGTGGGGAGAAGGGAAATACAAAAAAGCAAAAAAAAAACCCTCAAGATACATCTAACCTACCCATCCTGTTCTGGGAAACCCTCAAACTTACAACTTATGCCTGCAGGTCAGCATGGCCTCGGCCACGGGAAGCTGGTGTGTCACGCTCGCCCCGTTGACGTACTGCATCACCCGCCCCACCACGTCCAGTTGCTCTGCAGACAAGCCAGGAGCTGAGTGTGGATTTACTTCAGCAGGCAAACCCACGAGCCCCTCGGAGAGCCCCCGCCTTGAGATCATCAGAGGACCCCAGCAGCTGTGCAGCTGCCGTGGAGAAAGGGTTCCAAAGACTCTAAAGTGCCATGAGCCAAAGCTCCATCCTCTCGTGTCCCATCTCTGCTTGTGGTTCCTCCAAGCCCTGCTCCTAGCCAGGTGACCATGCTCCCATTTTCTCATGTCCACTGGCTCCTGCCTGTCTGTGCTCACAGCCATCTCTTAACCTAGAGGAACCCTCAACTCCTCCATCCGTGCCAGCACCTCCTTGGAGAAGCGTCTCAGCATTTACTCCCTCTCAGCCTCACTCTCACCCCCGTCACCTTTATTCTATATTTCAGGAGCCGTGGTTGGCATCGTGTCATTCAGTCATCCATCGACTGCTTAGTAACTACTCTCTGCTTCTTCCGTTGATCTCTCCAACTAGAGGTGCCCGCCCCCTGCTGTGGCCCTCCTTATTCTAGATGTGCAGGAGCAGGGCACAAACTAGAGACTAGAAACGTCCACGGTGGAGGGCCTCTACTCCACAAACACTTAATGCAAGGTAAACAGGCACAGTGGCCAAGAGGGTGAGAGCCACGGGGAGGGCGAGAGCCAGGGGGAGGGAAGATAGCACGGCCCGCTGGCCCGCCTTTCAGCCCAGGGCCAAGATGGTTCTCCAGCGAGCCTGGTGGTGTTCAGCCTTGCTCCCGGGGCAGTTCCCATACAAGGGGCCATTACCTGCCACAGGGGGCTCTGAGCGACTGAACAGGTCTCTCCAGCCAGCATCAAGGAAGGTGCTGCTATATCTACTGTCGACCGAGCCCAGGTACTTGGCCACAGGGTGAGAACCTGGTGGGCAGAAAAGCAGAGAAGCTGAACTGGTTGGGGATGGAATGACAGAACGTGGCTGCTGCACAGCCCTGGTCTCCTGACTGTCTCCTCTGGGCCCCAGCCCTGCCATCCTGCTACAGGAGCGGGACCTGCCTCTAGACTTGGGTAGGTGACAGGCCCTCCTGGAGGCTGTCCCATCTTTACCGAGGGGAACGATGAGGAACCGCATGTAGCTGAGCCAGTCGGAGGTCTTGCTGGCCAGCGACTTGACGAAGAACCGGAGGATGGAGCTCAGGTAGCTCTGGCCTCCCACCGCAGCCACCTTCACTGGCCGTGGCATGGTCGAGTTGCAGTTGCAGCTGGGGAGGAAGGGGAGAGACATGGCCACGTTCAGGGCTTCCTCCAGGACCCTGCTCGAAGGAGGCCCCAAAGCACCGACTTTACTTGATCTCAGCAACCACAGGGGAGAAACAAACCAATGAACAGTGTAATACAGAGAGGCAACAAAAACCAAGTGCTTTTTCAATTAAGAGAAAACCCAGGACCAGAGAGGGCAGGTAACTGTTTATGAAGGAAGACCCAATTAGCTGAGGCCAACAGGGAGATGGCTTGGCAGTGCCATCCAGGAGGCTGGGGGTTGGCCTGAGCCTGGATGCCTGTGACCCGGGAGCTCTCTCCCCAACTTGCAGGAGCCTCTGGGTCCCATCTCAGAAGGGCCTGTGGAGTGAAGCACTGGCTCCCGACTGTCAGCAGCACTTTACAGTTAAAAGGGTGGCTCTCTTCTTGGCCTTCTTCCTCACGGGTTTAAGAAGAGGACGAGGCCAGTCAAGGAGCTGCAGGCGCCCAGGCTGAGATGAGGGAGGGCAGGAATGGATCCTTCCACCCCGATTTTCTGGGGCCTCCTGGGCATCAGAGTAGCACGGCCGGCTGCTGCCCCCAGTGCACCCCCACTGCAGCTTCTCCCTATCCTTGCTTGGCAGTCAGGGTGGGAGGAGGTGGGCAGGAGAGGAGCTGGAGCCCTTACTAGCGCTGGATGCGGGTAAGCAGGGCGGACAGCACGGCCTGGACCTCCACGGTGGAGCAGGTGCACACGACAGGCTTCCGCTGGTCCTGGAGCAGCTCTGCCACATACTGGGGGGGGGACACAGGTGAGGCCTTCAGCAGGGACATCACTCCCCATATACACAGAGAGGGCAGCCCCCACAGAGACGTGGACATTGTGAAAGGTGCTTGGGAAGCTAGCAGATGTTTTAGTTCTAAAGTCTCCTCTGTAGCCCACACTCCAGATGCTGAGGCCAATGACAAGGGGTTCTGGCAGCAGGATCTCACTGGGGTGGACTGACCCCCATGAAAACTAGGGGCAACCTCTGGAATTTTCAAGTACTTTCTACTTCTCAAAGTCCGTTCATTCCGTCATGCTGCCTGACACACACAACTACCCTGGAAGGTAGGAAGGACAGGCATTACTGTCACTCTTTTACAGATGAGGAAACTGAGGTACAGAAAAAGTTAATGACTTGCTAAAGGTCCCATAGGATGGAAAGTGACAGAACTAGGATGAGAGCCCAGAGCTACGGGCTTATCCCAGGGTGGGACGGTGGCCTGAGAAATTGGAATCATTTTCCTATTTTCCCATGCGTGGCTGCTCAAACCATGTAACCTGGGGTATCTCTGACTCCCGGTCCTCTCCTCCCACCCCTGCAATCTCTATCATGTTACCTGGCCCTGCCAGTCAGCAGTGTTCACGAGGATGACATTTTCTGGAAGGGCAGCGTCTGACACCAGGATCTGATTCAGTTGGTCATACACCACCTTCCTTGGAATCTGTAAAGACATAAGTGTCTGTCAGGCAGTCCCTGGGGAGCCTGAGGGTGGGGTTGGGTGGCCGGAGCATGGACATTCAGAGAACAGACACCAGGTACTTGTGAAGGAGACCCGGCACCACCGTGGGCAGACCACCGTGGAAAGGAGGAGGATAGAGAATAAGCCGAGAAGGCCCTTGGAGAAGGTGGGAGCAGGTCAGGAACAAAGGCCCAGCAGCCATCCAGGCAGAGGGAGGGCGAAGCTGAGGCCAGGGCGCCTCCTGTGGAGAGGGCAATGCAGGGACAAAAGGAGATGGAGAGCCTCTGTGGCAGGGGAGGAGGAGGGCGAGAGCCACTAACAGGTTCTCAGAGAGCTGGAAACAAGGGCAACAGGCAGAGAGATAATGAGAGGGAAATGTGCGCTGTGTGGGGAGCCTGCCATCCAAGGGAACAGTAGATATTTCAGGAACAGTGATTAACAAGAAGGACAATACTTCACCCCAGGCACTGGGCTATTCTAGTCTCTGGTTCATTTTCAGCTATGTAATAGCATCAAAATCAGGAAGCCATACTGACACAAACTTTCTTCTCCATAATATTTATGAGGTAAATGAACTGATTTGCTACTTAATTCTAGAAGGATAGCAATATGTGAGGTATGCCAGTTTAGAAACATGACTCCCCTGGGCCCGAGACCACTGGCCTTCAAAGAGAACACAATTCCTAAGACCCAGCTGCTTCTGCACATCTGCTGCAGCCCATGCTTCAAATCAAATGGTTTCATCTTGCTGATATATCAGCTGGAAACCAAACACCTGGCCCACAGCAGCCCTAAAGGTACCAGTGCTCAGGCCAGTGATGGCCAATGACATTTTGGCCATCCACCGAACAATTAATTTCCCACCTTGTCTCCAGACTCATGTCTGATGGAGGCAGAGGAGGCAGAACAAGCCAGAAGGGGTGCTCTTGCCATGTGTGTGGCTGATGGCAGACTGGGGTGATGCCAGTATTTCTTGCTCCTTCCCTGGCCCCTGCCACTCAGCGCTAAAGTCCCATTCCACACTAGTAGGAAATAATCCACCACATGTCTGTCCATTTGTCCTACTGTGGAAGCTATGTCACTGATATTTCAAATACCAGCAGGGTCACCCATGGTGGACAGGTTTCAGTGGAGCTTCCGGACTAAGACAGACTAGGAAGAAGGATCTAGCGGTCTATTTCTGAAAAAACTGGCCAGTGAAAACCCTATGAATCGCAGTGGAACCTTGTCTAATATAATGCCGGAAGATAAGCCCCTCAGGTTGGAAGGCACTCAAAATACAACTGGGGAAGAGCTGCTTCCTCAAAGTAGACTCAACCTTAATGATGTGGATGGTGTAAAACTTTTGGAACCTTCATTTGTTGATGTGGCATGCCTCAGAATGGGAAGAAACAGTTGCAAGCATTCATTAATAATCAGAATGTGGAATGTACAAAGTATGAATCTAGGAAAATTGGAAGTCATCAAAAATGAAATGGAATGCATAAAGATCAACATCCTAGGCATTAGTGGTTGAAATGGACTGGTATTGGCCCTTTTGAATTAGACAATCATTGGTCTACTATGCCGGGAATGACAAATTGAAGAGGAATGGCGTTGTGTTCATCGTCAAAAAGAACATTTCAAGATCTATCCTGAAGTACAAAGCTGTCAGTGATAGGATAATATCCATAAACCTACAAGGAAGACCAGTGAATACCACTATTATTCAAATTTACGCACCAAACACTAATGCCAAAGATGAAGAAATTGAAGATTTTTACCAACTTCTACAGTCTGAAATCGATAAAACATGCAATCAAGATGCATTGGTAATTTCTGGTGATTGGAATGTGTAAGTTATAAACAAAGAAGAAGGATTGGTAGTTGGAAAATATGGTGTTGTTGATAGGAAAGACGCAGAAGATCCTATGACAGAATTTTGCAAGACGAATGACTTATTCACTGCAAATACCTTTTTTAAAAACATAAACAGCAACTATACATGTGGACCTTGCCAGATGGAATACAAGGAATCAAATGGATTAATTCTGTGGAAAGAGACGATGGAGAAGCTCAATCTCATCAATTAGAACAAGGCCAGGGGCCAACTGCGGAACAGACTATCAATTGCTCGAATGCAAGTTCAAGTTGAAGCTGAAGAAAATTAGAGCAAGTCTATGGAAGCCAAAATATGACCTTGAATATATCCCACCTGAATTTAGAGACCATCTCAAAGATAGATTTGATGCACTAACCACTAATGACAAAAGACCAGATGAGTTGTGGGATGACATCAAGGACATCATAAACGAAGAAAGTAAAAGGTCATTAAAAAGACAGAAAAGAAAGAAAAGACCAAAACGGATGTCAGAAGAGACTCTAAAACTTGCTCTCGAACATAGAGCAGCTAAAGTGAAGGAAGAAATGATGAACTAAAAGAGCAGAACAGAAGATTTCAAAGGGCGGCTCGAGAAGACAAAGTAAAGTATTATTATGAAATATACAAAGACTTGGAGTTAGAAAACCAAACGGGAAGAACACACTCAGCATTTCTCAAGCTGAAAGAACTGAAGAAAAAATTCAAGCCTCAAGTTGTAATACTGAAGAATTCTAAGGGCAAAATATTGAATGATACAGGTAACATCAAAAGAAGATGGAAGGAATAGAGTCACTGTACCAAAAATAATTGGTTGATATTCAACCATATCAGGAGGTACCATATGATCAAGAAATGATGGTATTGAAAGAAGTCCAAGCTGTACTGAAGGCATTGGCAAAAAACAAGTCTCCAGGAATTGATGGAATACCAACTGAGCTGTTTCAACAAATGGATGCAATGCTGGAAGTGCTCACTAATCTAGGCCAAGAAATTTGGAAGACAGTTACCTGACCAACTGACCAGAAGAGATCCATATTTATGCCTATTCCCAAGAAAAGTGATCCCACAGAAGGTGGAAATTATTGAATAATATCATTAATATTACATACAAGTAAAATTTTGCTGAAGATAATTCAAAAGCGGTTGCAGCAGTACATTGACAGGGAACTGCCAGAAATTCAAGTCAGATTCAGAAGGGGATGTGGAACGAGGGGTATCATTGCTGTTGTCAGATGGATCTTGGCTGAAAGCAGAAAATACCAGAAAGATGTGCACCTGTGTTTTATTGACTATGCAAAGGCATTCAACTGTGTGGATCATAACAAATTATGGGTAACACTGCAAAGAATGGGGATTCCAGAACACTTAATTGTGCTCATGTGGAACCTATACATAGACCAAGAGACAGTTGTTGGAACAGAACAAGGGGATACCTTGTGGTTTAAAATCAGGAAATGGGGAAGGCGGGGCCAAGATGGCAGAGTAGTCAGATGCTTCTGGTGGACCCTCTTAGAACAAGGACCCGAAAAAACAAGTGATTCAATTATATATGGCAATCTGGGAGCCCTGAACAACAAAGGCTGAGTTGAGGAACCAGACTGAGTGGAAGGGGGAGGGAGAGATGGTTCGGAAGCAGCAAGGAGTTGTCACACCTGACCCAGCGAGAGCCTGAGCCCTTCAGGCCTGAGCAGCTCGTGGGTGAGTGGTGAGGCAGGTGAGCATTGGTGCTCGGGAGGCGTGGTTTCTGCACCAGGAGAGACCCAGCACCAGAGAGTCTACACGGCCACCAAGAGCCAGTGAGAAGCAGCCCTCATTGGCGAAAGATAAGTAATTGTGTAAGGTTTACCGTGTGGATCAAAAACACCCCTCTTAGGGAAAAACCTCTCTCCCATTTACCTCCCCGCTCCCTGCTCTGCAATGGGTCCCAGACCGGCTTCAGCAATTGCCATGTCCCCTGGGCCAGAAGTAGGATCTGTCACACGCCCAGCACCATTCTCTCTGCCTTGGAGAGCGAACAAATTAACAAATGGGAAAAAATAAACTGCCAGCTCCCCTAAGCCAGAACCCAGGGTAAGCACAGCTCCTTTGCCTAGGTATGGGCATAAAGGATCCACAGACTTTGAGTGCCTTTCCCCCTGCATAGACTTGTATGGGCCCATCTCAACAGCGTAGGTCCTCGTTACTGCAGTATAACAGGGTATATACCAGAAGTCTAACTTCAACTGTTCCAGCTGTGAAGTGGCAGGTTCTTGCCATCTGACACTGCTCTGCTCGTTAAGCAGGGTCTTTACCAACCCACATCAGGGGCCTGAGGACTGGTGGCTCCACCCACGCCACCTAGCCACCTGTGATAGGGGCCCATGAAAAAGAGGTGCCCTCAGTCCTTACGGCCAACACCATTAGGTGTTCATAGTCCAGCTGCAAAACCCACCCACCTACGCGCTCTAGGGAACAGGGACACGCCTTCCTCCTGAACACTCGGGGGCAGCCGTTAGCCCCCTGCCTTGCTCTGAGTGTGTCCCCCTGCTGCAACCATATGCCTATGCCTACACCAATCACCCATGCCTGTCTAGGACTGTAAGTGAGAGCCTACACTGCACACTTGGTGGCTATCTACCTGGGCACCTGAGCTGAATCCATACAGGAGGAGTTGGCGGACTCCTGAGCTCACATATCTAGTAACAGATCTAACCACCTGGTGACAGGACACTAGAGCTTC